TCGTTCTTTCCTCTGACAAAAACCAAGTTGATCAAACATTCAAAAGCGTGTCTCAAGTGTTATCTGAGGGCAACATACTGATTGCTTCAGGACCCATACTTTCTTCCCGCTTGGATCACGTACATACCTACCAATCCATTTAGCACTTCAATCTTTCCTAAGGTACTCTTCTAGTCAGGGATACAACACAGCTTATCCCTGAGGTTAGCTGGGGATTCAACTCATCCAGCTAGCCAAGTTTGGGTGGTTAATAGGATTAAATCAACATTGTTTTTAATTAAACAATTGTTCATGACAATTTAAATCCTATGGACCAAAGGAGGATACTAGTTTGCTTTTATTGTTAGAATTATTTTATTTTTAAAGGAGATAGGTTTGGAGCAAAGAAGCCCCAAACTACCAAATTTACAAGGGTAGGTGGGAGGAAAAAGAAAAATTGTGGTGATTTTTGAATTAGAGACACAGTCCTTTCCAAAAGGTAAGATAGAAAATTAAGTATGATGAGTTGATTAATTGGAAGAAGGGGAAGATGGATTATATTAATGTAGATTAGAGGCTGAATCTTCAATACTTATCATCAAGTTTGTGCTTTGATTTTTTGTATTCCTGGACTGGTCTGGAATACTGTAGACTCAACTGCCTCAGACTTGTCTGTGCACATGGACAACAGCACCTTCCTTATTTCTTTAGTTCAGGAGCTACATATCTCTTACATCCTGTTTCCTCCTCCAGGGCTTGAAACATTCCACACTTGACCCTCTCACACCAAAGCAGACTTTCAACAGTTGAGGATTTCTAGCTTAACTGAAAATTCTTGCTGTAAAGTGGCCATGAGTAGTAAGGCTCACATGGTGGCCAAACTGACTAGGTCCAATGATAACTCAGTTACCCTACTTGGTCCAGGATGTTTCTGATGAGACACAGTTTGGCTGATTGGAGGTTGACCAACTGGCTTATTCAAGCTGGTCATGTGGGCAGAGCTTTTTCAGTTCAAAACACATTTTGAGAGGCTGTTGAGACAATGGACTTTTGTCAAGTGTATAGAGCAAAAAAACTCATCAAAGTCCTCCATACTTTCATCATCTGGCCAGTGGTGTTTTGGTCTGAAAGTGAGACTTCACATCAAATGTGGATTGCAACACAAGATCTGAAACAAGAAACGTACAATCTATTCAGCAACTTCATCCTCTTTGACCTTGCAAGTTTGGTTGAGGAAAGTGAAATACAACACACGTACAAGATACCTCACATGCCCCACATTCCCAAATGACCTGCTAACTTTAGTCTTCCTGGGGATATAGACCTGTGCAGGCCTAAATTTGCATGATAAGCATTTATGTAGCTTTAACTTTGAAACCTGTTTGTCAAGTTGTATTTGGTAATTGCCTGTTGGTTTTTCACAATCTCAGCATCCCAAAATTCATCATTATAAATGCTTGTCAGTTGAGAATCATATCCCCATCATCAGTTGGCTCACACTAGTACATTTTTCTTTGCCCTCTTTCAAGGTGTCTTCAAGTCTTCATATTACTCAATCCAACTAGTGTGCTATCCACTCTATTGAGAACACACCATTTCTTTTTCCAAGAGATCTTTACCTCTTACACGGAGATTCTACATCCTAAAACTGTTTTGAATTTGGATTGGTAGAATGCCTATCTCAGCTTTACAAACTTGCCTTCTACTATTTAGCCTTTCAGGGTTAATAGATGAAGCTACCTGCAACTTTCCAAAGTCCAAGGATACATTTAAACTTGCTTCCAGAGACATGGATTTCCTATCAAGAGCTAGAAGTGGTATTTAGGGTTTCTTTGGCTTTGTTGAACCATTACAATCAATAGGAGAAGGTTTTTTTTTGGACTGACATATGATTTGTTTTTAGATGCCACAAAGAGGTGGGCTGATGATGAACAATTGACTATCCTATCCAAAATTGATCATAGTGAGCCTAAAGCTAATTCTTTTTGTTGATACAATCAAGATCTTTATTAATTGAGAACATGCTTCAGATACAAATCATCAGGACCCTACCAAGATAGATGCAGCTCAAGTCAATGTATATCAAGGGGAGGAAGCAACAAAAGAAAAAAGTGATTTGGTTAAGACTGATTAATAAGCTGGAAATTAAGTTCAAGAAGAGACACTGACACAGTTTATTATTTTGTTATCCAGAGGAGGTCAAGCCAGAACGTGAGCCAAGTTTTTGTTTTTGTCTGTTAATCAATTTCAGGTTTCCATCAAATATGAGACTGGAATGACTGATGGCTTGATTTATTTAGAAATAAACCAAGAATTTCAAAAGAGGGTAGTGAATAAACTAAGCAAGCTTTACAGAGAACTGGATCTTCCCCTAAAAGATGCCCCTTATGTTGATTTCCATTCTCTTATAGTAGATGTTTGGCAGCGCTTAGCCGGATTTTCTGTTGATGAATATGGACTTACAGAACACCTTTCAGAAGAATATAAATCTCAAGAATTGGATCGTGTTTTTGATTCCTTTGAAAAGATTTCTGCATTATTGCAAGATGCAGAAAATCATTCTGATTATGCTACTTTTACTCCTAATAAACTGTATTCAGTCATCTTCAATTTGAGTGACATATTCTTTGAGCACCTTGCCCACTTAGCAAAGTACAACCTGATTGAAGAGGACACTCTGAAAGAATTCATAAACAATAGAAACCATTTGATGATCATCTACCACTATCTGTCAGGAAGGTTTATTCAAACCAATGATATCACCTCAATCATTTTGAATCAAGGACTGGAGTTTGGCCTAGAAGAAATACCATTCACTGAGGACATAAAAGATTTATTTAAATGTTAGTTGAATCATTTCTTCATCTTGTTGTTTATTTCACAGCACACCCCAAAAAAAAATCAAATATATCATAAATATTGGAATGCTTCCTGACTTGTATTCAATTGATTTAAATTTAATATCAGTCTTGAATGAAGATACTTTGATCAATTTATCACACACATATTTGGCAATTCAAGCACTTGGAGTTAAAACATATGGAAGAAAACCTTCCTTCAAATACTTTCATTTGACAAAGCAATTTGAACACCTCACAACACCTGAATCTCTAGGACTAGCATTTGGTTTTGAACAGAACTTGAAACCTTTGGCACAAAAATTAGTCACTCAACTTGACCAAATTAAATCAAATTCATTTGAAATATATGATCCCATCCAGCAGATCATGTTTGCAAAGATTTACCTTGGGATGCTAAACTTCTTGAAGAGAACTGCCCCCAATCAAATGGATCTGGATCTGGAGAGAACAAATTTTTATGCTTATCATGGATTCAAAGAACTCGAAGAAACAATGGGATATTTTTCTGATGCATTGAAGTTAGTCTATACCAAGTATGTTAATACAGTCCAAAGAATAGCCAAGAAAAGGCTTGAAAACTCTACTCAAGACAATTACATGCCTAGCTTTACTTATTTGACTAAATTAGGATCACAAACAACTGGGTCTCCATATAGTTGTAAAGCTAGGGATGATGAGGCTGGACTATGTGCCGCACTTAAAAGAAGATCCAAGTGGATTTTTGATGAGCTGTTAAATTTAAATGAATCAGAAGAGGCCTCCATTGAGCAATTGGAGAAGATTAGAGTCAAGATGGAATATATTCTCAAACAACCAGTGACAGAAGAATATTTGGAAAAAAAGATGAAGAGTATACCCCAAATACCAGGAAGAAGATTTTCATAGTCTGATCAAGTAACCTTTTCTACCTCCAAAGATTTGCTTACTACTGTGTGTTTGAAATGATTTTGGTTCCTTGTTCTTACAAAAATTTGGTTTCCTGATTTCCAGCACTTTCTTGTTCTCAAATCTACTTTGTCTCACATTTTTCCCTTTGTCTGATTTGACTCTTGCTTTGAGATCCTTTGCTACTTCATGGGGTCTTTGATTTTAAAACTACAGGATTTACTATCCTCATCTTTGATTTTCTTCCCACAGAGACTGTGTTTCTTTGCTGATTATTTCATTCTCCTGGTTTTCTTTCCAGAAGACAGATTTTTTTTCCCTCTTTTGTTCCTGGAATACATATTCCTGTCTGAATTTTTCCTCTTTTGTTTCTACATTGGTTCCAAAATGCATACAAATTCACCTTTTCTTCCTTTGGCAAAGACTCCTCTTTGGAGCAGTGGACTGTAGAGGTAGTTTAAGAAAGAGGTAGCCAATTTATTTTACAAAAAGCATTGAAAGGGAATAAAGGCAACAGATTTACTCTGATCATTCCCAGGTGAGAAAGATTTTCAGTTAGAAATTAACTGGTAAATTCCATGTGACTGAATAGTCTGCCATGATAAGCTAGAGCAGAGATTCATCAAACAAATTTTGTTGTTTACAGGTCAGTGGCTAAACAAAATAGGACTCAGATTGTGATGTTAACTACATATTTACCTCAACAACAATACATTATTTTACTACATACAGCATCATATAAAATCATATTAGCCTGGTTCACAATAGCCAGTTCAAGGGTGCCAGCCTTGAGCACATTGAGAAGTGATCTCAATGTGCCATTAGGCTACTCCGCTTAAGATAATAACTTGACCGTTATAGAATAAAAGTTAGAACCATTTTGGAATAGTATTCCGAAAAGGGTTATCCAGACCCATGTATAGAATCAGATACCATATAAGGATGAAATTCTCCTAGCAGACAAAGGAGGATGGACAGATTAGAACTGACCAAACCCGCTGTATTACAATATATATTGTGATTGGGGTTTTATCAGAATCCCTATTATCCTTCTTATCTTCATCTACTCTTCCACCTCATCTCTCTATCTTACTATATTCATTTCATCCTTTCTCATTTTCCATTCCAAGCATCTCCAACCTCCTATTTTAGTCAGTTTCTACTCCAAAATTATATTCAGTAGTAGTCACTTCAGAGACTACTCCGGACAAAGGGGGTTCACAATTGAAATTCACACAATTCTTGATTCCTATTTTAAGGTTTTTCTCAACAACTTTTTGAAAAATGAAAAAGTTGATCTGATTGGTCAAAAACCACAAAATCTGTGCATCTTGTGAAAATGTTAAATTGTTACTGATAAGGACCATAGAATTGAATATAAAGACTTTATAAATTTCAATTGTGAACCCCCCTATGGCTGATCACCTTGTTAAAAAAAGTTGCTGATAGCAATTTTTTTTGGATGGATCTGGAACAATGGAGGACTTCCCGTCAGTTTAGAAACCCGGCTATTTCCTATTTCCTATTTCTATTTTCCAATTTTTGGTGATGAAATTTGGAATTAGACAAGGAATTTTAGAATTTAGAATTTAGACTGGTGTCTAAATCCCGACGGGAAGTCCTCCAATCTGTGGGACTCTGAACTACACATTCACAAATGGATGTGTTTTTAAGTATCAATGATTTGCTGATTACAGCTAAAAAAATTTGCTGATGACTGACTGGCTATTGTGAACTGGGCTATTTGATCATTCACATGCTACTCACCCTTGCTGTCAGCTTGCTACTATGGCAGAGACAACCTGGCATAGCAAATAAAATAATAAATTACATAAAAAAATCTAAGTATAAAGTAAAAATATTACATAAGTAAAAGAAACAATAGTACTTATGTAAATAAGATAAAAAATACATAAAAATAAATAAATAACTTAAAAAGTATAAACAAAACCTTAAATATTATTGCAGATTCTGAATCAGCATACAATTTAACCTAGGGTACCTCAGCCAAAGGTACCCCAAATTCTAACTCCTTCACCTTGTAATACATGCAGGAATAATTAACAGGTACCCCCAGATCACGGGTACTGTGACTCTTCTGAATAATGCATAATGCATATACTCCAAATTCAGTCTCAGAATTGGAGTATTGTGCACGGTCTAGAAGATAGAGCAGTGTGGAGTCCTGTCTCCAAGCCCACGCGCCACGTAGTCATGCTGCGCACCAGTATCCAAGGATTGGGCCACAAAAGCCCCAGAATCCCCATTGCACGTGACAACAAAGCCCCCACACGTGTAATAAAAATATAAACAAGCTAGAATATCCATGAAAATACTACAGTAACCATATTCCAATGGGTAACACGTGTAGCAAGCCTCAGAAGACACCTCTGGAATATTCTGTGGCCCATTTCCAAGGAACCTGCTCCACGTAACAGAGTAGCCCCTATCCACAGGTCCCCATGGGACATTCTTGGCTGTAATAATTTCGTGCATTGCCCCTTGGAGCTTCTGGAATATTATCCCCAAGGTTCCAGCCCTGGTTACATCACCATGTGGGCCAAAATGGGCCAAAAAGCGCCCCCAAGTCCTACTAAGCTCCCCTGGGCAACCCCTGAGGCCTTCCACAGGTACTTAAAGGGCCTTCTGACCGCCCAAATAATGATCCCCCAGCTTTACAATACCTGATAGAAATTTACTTACCCTTTACAAGTCCCCTACACTTGTAATTAGCCTAGTTATTACTATTTTTGCTGTTATTAAGCCTCAAGAACCCTCAAGAAACTCCCCAGTGATCATCCAGCACCCAAAATCAACCTTTCTGAGCGCTCCCAACTGTCCAGTTTCTACTAAGAAGATCCTCAAGACCCCTTAGGATTATTACTAGTAAGTAATAACCCTTTCTTGAAGATTTTCCCCTTAAAATTATCTCCTGGGATTTAAACCACACCTGTTACAGGCCCCAGTGTATCAGGTACCTAAATCCTCTGCTTTTTGCACGATACCTTAGAAGGATTAAACCACCCCTGATTTATCAGGCCCCTCTGGTTTTATTTATATTAATTTTATTAATATAAATTGGCCACTTTTTGGATTTAATCCATAAATTCCACGTAATTCTTTTGAATTACTTGTACCAGTTTTATCCCAGAGTTTTTTCCATAAAAACTCTTATATTTTGCACCTTGTGTAGCTAGAGGACACTTGTCTTGGCATCACATAGGCTGACAATTGGGGGTCTGGCCGGGAAATTTTATTAAAATCACCTTTTTTTAATAAGCCACCTGGATTTTATTCTTTATTTTTCTCACAAAAATTAATCAAACCCATAAAAAACTATCATTTTTTTACGGTCCACTTTTTCCTTTTTACTACAGAAAAAATACACATAAAGAAAAAATATATCTCTCCTATTTTACAAAAAAAACCAAACCCGTAGAAAAAAATTATATCTCATTTTTTTTATCGCTTCTCTCTCCAAATTCCTATCCTCGAATAAAAAAATCCCTAAAAAACAAAAAACTTCCTTTTTTCATTTTTTTTATAGTGAATCTCCAAGATAACGCGGAATTAATCCAGCGCTACCTTCTCCATCTTAGATTACGAAAGGAAGAATCAGAACGGAACTACATCCCTACTCCGTGGGAAAAATTATCAAGCGAAGAACAGTTACTCCTCGCCACGTACCACGCTCACGTGCACCAAGAAGAAGATCTCGAAGAACAAATTAGTTTCAGAAACTTCCTCCGCGATATCAGATCAAAGAACGCCCTCCTTAGACAAAAGCGCTACCAAGAAAGAAGTGAGATTATTGACAGATTACTCGCGGTTATTTTTTCAAAAAGCTAAAACAAAAACCCTTCTCACATTTCTGCCTTTCAGTGTCTACCTTTGAAACGGGCGTGATCAGGACCGAAAGAGCTAGTCCTACTCCTTCAGTTGATACCGATAACGACTCAGTAGATAAAACAACCACGAGTTAGTATTCATTGTTTTAGAAATAATTTTCTCCCGATCAAAGTTCCTCGACTTATATAAAATTTTATTATAATGACAAAATCAACTAGGTCAAACTGTCCCGAATTACGAGGCCCCCTCCCAGCTCCGACACGACCTCGCAGCGGCAAAAGAATTGCAAGCCCGAGTGGAAAATCTACAAATGACCACTCTAACTCGCAAGGAACTAGCGGCTCCGACCCAAGGGAAGTCGACGAAGACCAAAGACGACCCGCCTCCGAATACGGAGAAGGATACGCCTATGGACGTGGACGAGATAGAATCCGAATGCTCGGAAGCTACCCCGAAACGCCCTTCTACACCAGAGATCAGAATCCTCACGAAGGAAGAACAGATCAGACTCCGGGTCAGAGAGCACGTATCGCTCTGGAAGCAATGTCAACTAGCTACCCGAGAAGGGCCGACGGCAAAGCTTCGAGCCTTACTGACTACCGCTCAGGAGAGTCAGAAGACTCTACAGAAACTTATAGACAACGACGAAATAGAGAGTTACGTCAAGGGTTGGAATCCGTGGGACGAGAAGAAGATCCATTTCCCTTCTCCACCAAAAAAGAATCTAATGAAATTCAAGAAAAACGAGCCGGGAAAAAGACAAAGCTCAAGCTCAATGAATTTCTCAGATCCGGTCAAATGGAAGAAAGCCACCGACCTTCTTCAAATAGCGGCCGGTCTGTATCAGAATCTCCAATAGATTCCAAAGTAATACTAGCTATCCTTAACTCTCTGGAAACCTTGAACGGTAACATCTCCACTTTAGATTCTAATAGCGAGAGAAACTTTGCCAGTATTGTACATAGTCTTGATTTGTCTACTAAGAAAATAAAAGAGAATATGGATGGAGTTTGTCTTAGAATAAGACAGCAATTGGAAAAACCCTTGCCTATTGAGTTGACCCCTAAGAATAGCGAACAGATTACTGTTATTCAAAAAGACGTTGAGTACCTCCGAGAAACTTTAAGAGATACAAAAGATGTTGTTAATGAAATAGTACAGTTTTCTCGAAATTCGGCAGCGCAGAGTACTGCTCATGCTGATTATATCTTATCTTCCCTCAGGCAAGACGCCATAGTCGAGAATGCTAAATTTGAGAGAAAAACCAGCGAAATAAAAGAGCTAATACTTCTGAAAAACACCAAAACAAATGGTAATATAGAACATTTGAACAAAGTTGTACTAGAAAGGTTTCAATCGATCAAAGATGAGTTATCTGAGTTAAAGATCAAGGAACCCGAAGTCCCTCATAAATTAGATCACCTCCTGCCGAGTACTGTTGAGAATAAAAAAGAAGAAAAAGACCACATTCTTCCTCAGCGCCATGCGAGCAGAGATCTACCTCCCCATCTTGTTGTAAACAACCATCTCCGAGAAAGTTCTGCAAACTTAGAAGAACCAAAATACAACAATCCCTTCATGCAGTCAAACACTCCACCCGTGAAAAACTGTTCTCCTCTTCTTCCTAATTCTGATCCTAGAGCACAAAGAAACTCAAATGAAGAAGCTGATTTCATAAGAAATTCCACTCCTTACACTGCGGCTGAACTAGCTAATCTGAATAAATACATGCCTCCAATAAAAGATTGGCCAGAATTCGACGGAAAAGATGAATATGACCACATTAGCTTCATCAAGTACATTGATTATTTGTTGAGGACTTATAAAGCGCCAGATGATATGATCACCTCTAAGCTCCCTAGATTAATGAAAGGAATAGCTGGAGACTGGTTTGTCACCAAAAGCCAATCTATAGGATTACAGAGTTGGGCCGTATGGAAAGAACTAATTATAGCTAGATTTAGTACAAGAGTATGGAAAACCGCCAAAAGAATAGCTTTTGAGAGTGATTATTTTGACCCAATCAAACATTCTGTATGAGAATGGTGCTTGCTCCAAAAGAAAAGGATTGAATGTATTTACACTAATCCTACAGCTGAGGAAATCAATGACAGATTATTGACTCAGTGCAAAGGAACCATAGAGCATCTAGTCAGATGTAGACTGAAAGATATGGATGTTGATCTGACTGAATTTGTAGGAGTATTAGAAGAAGTTGTCATTATGAACAACTTGAATAAAAAATACGTCAGAAATAATGTACCTGAAAAAAGAGAATTCATCAAACCAGATAATATCAAAGAAAAAGCTCCTACAGCTGAAGCCCCCATAAGAAAAGCTAGTGTACCTGAGTGTTATAATTGTGGAGAAAAGGGCCACAAAAGACCTGAGTGCCCTAATCCCCGCAAAAAGATCAATAATGTGGAAGTATATGAAGAAACTGACAGTGAGTATGACTCTGGATCTCAATTTGATGTCATAACCACTGAGCCAGGAGAAGATGAGTCTCATAGAATTGTGGTAATCCAAGCTGATATTGGTGATGAATTACATATCAATACCATCCAAGGAGATTCTAATTTACCGCAGAAATGGGATTCTTCCATGAAAATTGGTCATGTTTCTGATGCTAAATTGCTCACTAATAAACCAGAAAAAGGAATGAGTTACACTATGGGAAAAACTAGCTACACTTCTGTTTTATTTGAAGATAAATCAGTAAAAGCTTTATTAGATATTGGAGCTTTTTGCTCGTGTACCAGTAGCAACTTCTTAGATGAAATACATCCAGAATGGAAAAATAATTTGCTGCCTGTCCCCAAAGCAAAATTTAGTAGTTGTAATTCTTCAATGAAACCATTAGGAATTGTAGTAATGCCATTAATCTTTCCGCACTCCAAAGGATCTTTAAGACTGTCCATAGAATTTGTAGTTCTTCAAGATGCCATTTGTGATTATTTGATCCTGGGAAATGACACTTTTTGCATGTATGGAATTGACATATTTCAAAGTAAAAACAGATTCTATACTATTGGAGGAGATTGGAAAAGGAAATTTCAAATTTGCAATGTGAATATCAAACTCCCTGATGTGCCAGATGAAATGACAGAAGAAATGATGTCCTTTCAAAGCTGAATATCTTTCTCAAGCAGCTGTTAGTGATATTTTAGACGAGCAACAGAAGTTAGACGTACTTAAAACTTGCTTCATAAATAAAGAATCCTTTTGTACTACTGAAGAACCTATTGGTAACATAAAAGGGCATGACATGAAGTTGGAATTAACTGTTAAAGAACCTTATCCTCCCATCTTGAGAAGACCCCCTTATCCTTCCAGTCCTAAATCAAGAGAAGCTTTAGAGACTCACATTAAAGAGCTAATGGAATTAGGTGTGCTAAGGAAAGTTGGACACAATGAACAAGTAGAAATTACTACCCCAGTAATTATTGCTTGGCATAATGAGAAGTCAAGAATGGTTGGGGATTTCAGGGCTCTGAATAATTACACTAGACCTGATTATTACCCAATCCCACGTATTGATCACTCCTTGCATAATTTATCCAAAGCCAAATACATTACAACTATGGATGTTCTTAAAGGTTTTCATCAAATACCCATTGATCCTGACAGCAGACAATTTTTGAGAATAATTTGTCATTTGGGAATATATGAATATTTGAGAATGCCATTTGGAATCAAAAATGCCCCTTCCCATTTTCAGAGAATGATGGACTCAATTTTTGGTGCATTTATCAGACAAGACTGGATGATGGTCTACATAGATGATATAATTATATATTCAAATGATTGGGAAACCCACTTAGAGAAAATAAATTTAGTGCTGAGTACCGCCATCAAAACTGGTTTGAAAATGTCCATTAAAAAATGCAACTTTGGTTATGGAGAACTCAAAGCTTTAGGTAGGATAGTATCTGGCCTAACTTTAGCTGTAGATCAAAACAAAGTGGCTGCCGTAATGAACAAAGCTCTCCCTCATAACTTGAAAGAAATGATGTCATTCCTAGGCTTTTGTAGTTACTACAGGCAACATATTCCTCAATTTGCCATAGTAAGCAAGAATTTATACGCACTGTGTAAAGATGACACCATTTATGAGATGACCTGGGAAAGAGTCAAAAATTATGAAGAATTAAAAAGATTACTCACTTCTGCACCAGTCCTAGCCCAACCAGATTATGACAAACCATTTATACTTTATATTGATGCTTGTTTAGATGGGCTTGGAGCTGCTCTTCATCAAGAATTTATTGTAGATGACAAACCCATGGAAAAACCAGTCCTTTTCATATCCAGACAAATTAAAGAATCTGAGAGGAAATATGGAGCCAGCCAAATGGAATGCTTAGCTTTGGTATGGGCTCTAGACAAATTACATTACTACTTAGAAGGTTCTAACTTTGTAGTTATCACTGATTGTACCGCAGTTAAAACTTTAATGAATATGAAAACTCCCAACAGGCACATGTTAAGATGGCAGATTGCTATCCAGCAGTATAGAGGGCATATGACCATCATCCATAAAGCTGGCAAGAAACACATGAATGCTGATGGATTAAGCAGATGGGCACTCCCTAATACCCCTGATAACCCAGCATATGATCCCGAGGATGAAGACATATTTCCTATTTTAGGAATTCACGTATGTGACATGGAAAATGCCTTTTATGAATTAGTTCAGAGAAGTTATGACCAAAATAGTGAATTATTGAAACTGGTAGAAATATTGAGAAATGACAGTAGTCCCCCGGAACTAGCAGCTAGTTTACCACCTGTTCTGTCCAAACATTATAAATTAGGTAAATTCACGTTATTTGATGGTTTGTTGTATTACAGGCACAAACACTCAAGTGTACTTGTCTTATGTGATGAAGGACAAATAAAAAATATTCTACAGGAATGTCATGATAATGTAAATTGCGGCCACTTTTCAGAAGAAAGAACATTAGAAAGAGTTAAACAAACTGCCTGGTGGATTGACTGGAAAACACAAGTACATGAGTACATTAAGTCATGTGACACCTGTCAGAAAGCAAACAAACAGACAGGCAAGAGATTTGGCCTACTTCAGAAAATTGCTGAACCCACGGACAAATGGGAAATCATTAACATGGACTTTGTTACCGGATTACCCCCTGGAGGATCCTACTCCTACAACTCAGTATTAGTCATAGTTGATAGATTTTCCAAGAGGGCAAAATTTATTCCTAATCATAAAGATGACACAGCAATGGAAGTAGCTATGTTATTCTGGAATAGACTAATGGCTGACGTGGGCATTCCCAAAATAATCATTAGTGACAGAGACCCCAAATTCACATCTGAATTCTGGAGAAACTTACATGATATGTTAGGTACTAAATTAGCTTTCTCCACAGCTTATCACCCACAGACTGATGGCTTAGCTGAAAGGATGATACAAACCTTAGAGGACATGCTCAGGAGATTCTGTTCATTTGGATTTGAGTTCAAAAATCATGATGGATATACTCATGACTGGGTGAGCCTACTACCTGCCTTGGAAATAGCTTATAATAGCAGCATACACTCCTCTACCAAAGAAGCTCCTTATATACTTGAAAGAGGATGGATCCCGCGCATGCCCAAAGACACCATCAATGACAAATTACCTCATGTACACCCCACAGCATTAGACTTCAAGAAAATGTTGGATTCCACCAATGTACATGCCAAGAAATGTGTCGAAGATGCTGTAGAGTATAACAAGAATAGGTGGGATAAAAGCCATAAAGAACCTGAATTCAAAATTGGGGATAAAGTACTTCTGTCCACAGTGAATTTCAACAACCTTGGCGGAAACAAGAAACTTAAACCTTCCTT